CCACTTATCTCAAATATTCTTACTAATATCTAATTATCTCCTAAGCATAGTACAATAATTTTATATAACTGAACGTACATAAAAATGACTTGTATTCATCGCATTAACTAATCTACAACAGCTTATTGAGAACTTCATTAGTTTAAAACTCAACCATTTTCTTAGTTTAAACAATGTCATCATAGATAAGGTGATTGAATTCTCCTGAGAAATTGGATTTTATAAATTTGACCATTTATTTTGACAGCCAAACATTATTTATTACAATCACGTATTACTTTTTATTTTAGAAAATTAGTTAGATTTCAGTATCAGTAATTTTAAAATTACTCAATTTCAACGCAACAACATTATCTAAAATCATACCACTAATTAGACACATTGCTAAGACAAAACTTAAGTATTGATAATTCATCCTAAACACATCATTAATAAATTTCAACGAAAAATTGATAACATTAGAACTATCAAGTTTGTAAAATTTTTGCTATATTGTATTGTTTATCATGAGAGAGTTGTATTCTTCCAACTTCTAAGTTATTTATTTTTAAAATAGAAAAGTTTACTCTACGTGGTGCAACCCAACTCGATTAGCAAGAAAAATTAAAGCATCTAAAGAATAAAACAAATTATTCATGAAATTGTTATTAAAATTTAACAACACTTCTTCATTAATTAAGTCAATATTTCGTACATACATGTGATGAAATAATTGGACAAGAGTTTTAATGCTGCATAACCTCTAATTCTCTTCAATATTTTTTTTAACTAACATTTTATTTTCAATTATTTGAGAGATAAAATACTCTTGGAGTTGATCTTGTAAAGGAACAAGTTTTAAGTGCTGGTTCTCTTAAACTATTTATTGATAATGTTGTTTGATGGCAAACAAATTCCAAATACGTGAGGAGCTATCTTGCGAAACACCAATCATATTAGTTTGATGCTTTTTAGAAAAATAATGCTATCCATAATCGTCTTCATTATTAATCACAACAGCGCAAATTCCACACATCAAGA